AAGATAGATATCGAAGCACACCTTCTGGTACTTTCCCCACGAAGGGTCGCAATTTTCAATATTTATATCTCTCATTTCACTTTATTTTTATTAATCTCATTTTTACTTCATTCTCGTACCTCCCCCAACAAAGGGTTAAAATTTTGAGAATTAATTTTTCGCATAGAATTGAAAATACATTATCGATTCTTCTTAAATTTTACAAATCCCAATATTTTTATCTGTCGGTACCATTTACTTCGTTTTAACTATTTTCCAAGAACTTAAGATATTTCCATGGAAATCCCTCTCGTTTTTTTATACTTCTGGTCCAGTTCAATTTTATATTCTTCCGTGAAATAATTTACGCCATAACTGTTACAATTAATTTAATAAATAACAAATACTACAACGCAATGTTGTAATATACCATTTAATTTAACATTTTTAAATAACAACTTTATTAAATAATAATACCTGACTGCTTTTGTTTATTTTTTTCCGTTGCTGTTGATCATAAATCGTATTCGGTGAATTTTTTCTTGGTTGGACTCGAACTCCAACCATAATTGCTTCTTATTTGTTAATAAAAAAAAAGCTCCCAAAGCCAACAACAATAACAGCAACATCACCGACAATTATTATAGCGTTAATAAAACAAATGATGATGGCGGCCCATTTACACCTCATAATTCTAATTGGAGGAGATTAACCACCCCAAGCCAACATCACACAGATAGAGAGAGGGTGATAAAATAAATCGACATTTGTTAACCTTTCATTTAAATTTAATTGTTTGTGTCAACGACAGGCTTTTATGGACGAGAGATTTTTTTTCAAAAAAAAGATTAAATCGTCCTTGAGGGGAACTACGCCACGACAGTGGCAACAACACTTTATGCGATTATTGGAATATAAAATCGGAATCAATCCATGTACATAGAGTGCAATGATACGGCTTAAAATGTTAGGCGGGAAGAATCGAACCAGTAACTTTAGATTATGTAGTTGGACGTGCTTACTCTGTGCCACCTTTACACATTACTAGGTAAGACAAAAGGAAGACATTTTTGAGTTTTTAAATTTTTAGTAAAAAGTTGTTGTCTTTAGCTCAATTGTAAGGCAGAACGTATATTGTAGCTATTTTTTTTTGTTTACTGGTAATGCATAGGGTATGTAATTGTCATTGATAGTCAGAATTTTCTTATATACAACCACAGAATTTTGAAATCGGATGGTTTCTAATTTTATGCAAATAATTGAAAATCAAAATGTAACCCTTTTGTGGGGCAGTTCCCAGAAGAAGTTGACCGATAAATTCCATGTTCACGTCTCTCTGATTGAGAGACTTTTTTATACCCTACACCACTTTGCATATTTAGTAGAGCTTCATATAACAAATAAAAGTTTTTATCCGGAATTTGCGAGAATTTAATGATATTAACTATGATTATAGACATAATTTAAAGTCCAAAGTAACCATTATATGAGAGGAATATCCTCCTCTGAATCGATAAAATTTTCGACCGATTATCTTCAATAGGGTTCGTCCTTAGGCCAAACGAATGATTTGTAAAAAATTTAATCTAGATCGGACAATAAATGCGAGCTGTACTTTTTTTTACAAAAATATATGGACAGACGGAGGGACATACAGTCGGACGGACATACATATATCGACTCAGAATGTGATTCTATGCAGATCATCAAAAGGAACTATGGGTCTATCTCGTTCCCTTTTGCCTGTTACAAACAAATGCACAAAGACATAATACCTTGACCACCCTGTAGTGTATGATATAAAAAGTCGCAAGTTATGAGAGATATAAGTATAAACAAGTAAAAAAACATTAAGTTCGGCCGGGCCAAACTTTTAATACCCTCCACCCTAGGGTAAAAGAACATTAGAAGAAATGTGGCAAAAAACATTAAAATGCCGAATATCGGGAGTTACCGTTATATAGGGGCTACACCAACACGTGCACCTATAATTACAATGTTTCGCCACACGAACTAGGACCCATTATGACCCACAAATACCAACTTTTACACAAATCAGTGAAAAAATGTGGCATAAATCATCAAAATACCGAATATCGGGAGGTACCGTTATATGGGGACTATACCAGAACGTGGACCTATACATGCAATGTTTTGCCACACGCTCAGGGACCCGTTGTGACCTACAAATACCAATTTTCAGACAAATCCGTGAAAAAATGTGGCATAAATCATCAAAATACCGAATATCGGTAGGTACCGTTATATGGGGGCTATACCAAAACATGGACCTATACATGCAATGTTTTGCCACACGCTCAGGGACCCGTCATGACCTACAAATACCAATTTTCAGATAAATCCGTGATAAAATGTGGCATAAATCATCAAAATACCGAATATCGGGAGGTACCGTTATATGGGGACTATACCAGAACGTGGACCGATATATCTCATTTTCAATACCAACCATCCTAGGGACAATACACACACTTGTGCCAAATTTCAAAGGTCTACGTCAAATAATGTGGGCTCTATCGTGATTTCAACAGACAGACAGACGGACAGACAGACAGACAGACAGACGGACAGACAGACAGACGGACATCGCTAAATCGTCTTAGAATTTTATGCTGATTATGAATATATATACTTTATGGGGTCTACGACGAATATTTAGAGGTGTTACAAACGGAATAACAAAGTTAATATACCCTCCTACCCATGGTGGAGGGTATAAAAATTGTGACCCTTTGTGGGGGAGGTACCAGAAGGCATAGTCCGACATCTACCACCTTCACAACACATTTTGTGTTGGTGGAAATATTGGTATGTGTAAAGTTTAGAACGAATCGGATGAATATTTCGCATTTTAAGAGAGTAATAATTATTCAAAATTTTGACCCCTAGGGAGGTACGAGAAGGAATGGACTGATACATTCCATCTTCGTACCAGATCTTGTGCTAATAGAAATATTGGGATATGCCGAGTTTGAAAGAAAACTAATGTTCATTTTGTATTTTATGAGAGTCACAATTTTTCAAAATTTTGACCCCTTTGTAGGGGTACCTACCTGAAGGAGTGGACTGATATATTCCATCTTCACACCAGATCCAGTGTTGGTAGAAATATTGGGATATATCTTGTTTGAAAGGAATCGGATGTCTATTTCGGATTATATGGGAGTCATAATTATTCAAAATTTTGACCCCTTTGTGGGGGAGGTACCAGAAGGAGTGAAGCGATATGTTCCATCTTCACACTAGATGTTGTGCTGATAGAAATACTGGGATGTGTGAAATTTGAAGAAAATCAAATTCTTATATAGAATTTTATGAGCGTTTTAGTTATTCAAAATTTTGACCCCTTTATGAGGGAGGTACTAGAAGGAGTGGACCGATGTATTAAATCTTAACACCAGATCTTGTCTTGATAGAAATATTGAGATATGCCGAGTTTCAAAGGAATCGGGTGATTATTTCGGATTTTATGAGAGTCATAATTATTTAAAATTTTGACCCTTTTGTGAGAGAGGTACCAGAAGGAGTGGCCCGATATATATTTCATCTTCATACCATATCTTGTGCTGATAGAAATATTGGAATGTGTGAAATTTGAAGTGACTCGAATGAATATTTCGGCATTTTATGAGAGTCATTATTATTCAAAATTTTGACCCCCTTGTGGGGGAGATACCAGAAGGAATGGCCCTATACATTTGATCTTCATACCAGATCCAGCGGTTATAGAAATATTGGTATATGTGAAATTTGAAGAGAATCGCATGCTTATTTTATATTCTACGAGGGTTATGGATATTCAAAATTATGACCACCTTGTGGGAGAGGTACCAAAAAAAAGTTGTCCGATCTTTATACAATAACTAGAGTTGGTATAAATATTGGTATGTGTCAAGTTTGAAAAGAATCGCATAGTCAATCTGCATTCTATGAGGGTTATGTGTATTCGAAATGTTGACCCCTTGTGGGGGGTGCCAGAAGGAGTGATCCAATCTACCCCATCTTTACACAAGATCTGGAGTTGGTAAAAAATATTGGTATGTACCAAGTTTGAAAATAATCGGACGGCCATTTTGCCTTATATGAGGGTCATGGGTTTTAAAAATTCTGACCCCTTGTGGGGGAGGTTCCAGAGGGAGTGTTCCCAACTTCGTAAATGATTCGAAGGTGGTAAAAATATTGGGATGTGCCGGGTTTGAAAAGAATCGGGCTGCCATTTTATATTTTATGTGGGTTAATGGATATTCAAAATTTTCACCCTTTTGTGAGGGAGGTTTTAGAAGGAGTGTTCCGATCCATCCACCTTCAATTGGTGAAATTGAATCCATTATTTGGTAATGAGTTTTTATTTTGCCCATATGATGGCAGATTTCAAAATGACATTTAAACGCAATTCAATCTGATATGTATGCAAAATAATTTTGATTTGATTTGATCATAAATTTATTTTGAATCGAAAATCGAAATTCATTAAAAAAGACATTTATTTTGGCTTTTCGAAAACAAAACTTGATTCTATTTTTAAAACAACAAATTAAAACTTATGGCAACCGCAAAAAAAAAACGGTGTTATTGTCGAATGCAAAAAAGAAATTTACGTCACCAAAAAAAGTAGCCAAACCACTGTTTCGAAATATTTTGGAATATTTTGTTTGTTTTGTTGTTAAACATTTTAATATTGACTATTGACCCCAACTTGACCCTCCTCCAACAAAGTAGATTTTTAATGGTACTCCAAGCCAAAATAAAGATTCGAATATGTTTGTATGTATGTAATTTTAATATCAAAAAAACAAAAAAAAAACAATCTGACTTCTAGGGGCCGAATAGAACAAACCGATGTCACCTCCAATTTAATCTCCCATAAAGACGACTGACTAATTACTACTGTCTTCGTCTCGTAATGCTCGAACTCCATTAGAATGCCAACAATAAAAAATAATAAAAATAAAAACATTTAAAATAATTTCTCCATTTGTCATTTTTTGTTTGCCTTGCAGATAGATTGACCAGAACAACAGCTGCCCGGCGTAGAAGCGGACCACCAAAATCAAAATGCCCCATCGTTCGTCAACAATGATTCTGAAGAGTACCCGAAAATATGTCAAATATTTCTATATTTTTCTGGGTACCTCACTCATTGCCCTGGGCGGATTTTTTCTCATCTACTCCCGGCCGTTGCTCGATCGGTTTATAGATAGTGTGAGTATGAAATTTAAGAAAAGATTTTGAGAAGATGTTAATTTTGAAAATTTTTATTTTTTAGCAAATGATATTACGTCCCGGCGCCGAACTAACCAAAATGTGGGCCACTCCCGATGTCAATGTTACGGTGGATTTTTATTTTTTCAACTGGACAAATGCCGAAGATTTCTATGACATGTCCACAAGGCCCAAGTTCAATCAGGTTGGGCCTTTCAGCTACATTGAAGTGCCGCATAAGAAAATCTTTAAATGGCATGACAACAACCACACCATGGATTATGCCAAGATCCATTATTATCATTACGATGCGGAACGATCCAAGCTAGGCTTGAATGATACCTTGGTGTCCATTAATGCCCTAATGGTGGTAAGTTCAGACAAATTATATTATGAATGATAATTTTGGGAATTTTCCGAAAAAAAAATTGAAATGGGTAGGAAGAAAAGTTCACATAAGTGCATGGCGGATTTCAAGAAAGTACGAATTCTTGAAGTAGAACTGTGCTCAATTTTACCAAGTGCTGAAATTAGAACTGTGAGAACTGTGTTTGTGCGTGGGGGCCTTGTGAAGATGGATTTAGTGAAATTCGAAGTAAAGTTGTACCAAAAGTACTAAATTGTACTAAATGCTACGAAGTGTACGAAATTTGGAGAGTGCTATGCTGTTGATGTGAAATGAGGATTCATGGAATTCTAAATAAAATTATACCAATATTATCAAAAGCTACAAAACGAACTGGTAGCGTAGAGAAATTTCAGATGAGAGTCTTGGTCAAAGACCTTTGCTGTCAACGCCTCTATCCTTGGTGTACAGGATGTTGTGATACCATTCAAATGGTTTTGAAAAAAAAAATTAAAAAATAGAAGAATATTTTTAGATTGCGGATTTCTTGACATGATGTCTTTGTTAATTAAAAAAGAACATTTCATTACCAAGAATATCACGATTTTTTGCCGGTAGGACCACGACAAAATATTTTCAATTTCTCCCCTGGAAGTTCTGTAAATTTTTTTTAACAGGATGTCCTTGAAAAATCCATAAGTTTTTTTTGTCTTAAAGTCCTTGAAAATTTTTTGGAAGATATATGTCTATTTGGCATAACATCCTTAAAAAAGTATTTTCAAACCAAAAATTTCTTGACATGGATTCATTTTGGGAAGAATCCTTGATTTCTTGTCATGAAGTCCTTGAAAAAATCTTTAATATAACATTTGGTTTTTGCATGTCCTTGAAAAATAAAAGACTCCTTGACAAGATGATCTTGAAAAATATCTCAAACAATCCGCTAATTTTTAACAACAATATCCTTCATATAACATCTAAAAATTTTATATTTATTGTTATTATTGCTATTTATACTTAAAAATCTGTCAATTTCGGCCGGGACGTCCATAAAAAGGAATTTTCCTTTGTTTACATACAATTTTGTACCAGGAGGTCTTGAGAAATTTATATGAAAAACTCACGATTTTTTACAAATTTTTATTTTTTAGAATGTCCTTAAAAATCTCAAAAAATATCATGACAAGAAGTCACAGGAAATATTCTCTAGAAAATCGATGATTTTTTTAAAAGGCAGTCATAAAATGTTCTAGGTTGGTTTGGTGAGGAACTCCTTAAAAGAATCTTGAAAATCCACTATTCTTAGGCCAGAGGGAAAACATGTCCTTATGAAATCCACGATTTGAATTTGTAGGCCCATTTTTTACTCGGAAGTATTAAAAAATATTTTGTAAAAGTTCATCATTTTTGTTAACAGGAGCTCTTTGAACGATTTTTTTTGAGAATAAATTTATGGAAAAATTAAAAAAAAAATATTATTTGTACCAAAAAGTCCTTTAGAAGGTATTTTATAAAAATCAATGATTCTTGCCTGAAAAAGACACTACCAGTATTTGAAAAATCGACAATATTCGTCCGGAATTCCATGAAAAATATTTAATTTTTTTTAACTATGAAGTATTTTAATGGTATTACGATTTTTTGCAAAGAAGGACTAAACCACAAGAAAGAAAAAATGTGTAAGGATTTTTTTGAAAAAAAAAAAAAAAATCAAAACTTTTTGTCATTAAATCTTTTAACATTTTTTTAAAAATCCATGATTTCAAGCCATGAAGATCAGCGATTTTTAGCGTGAAGTCTTTCAATTTTTTTTTAAGAATCTTTGATTTTTTACCAAGAAGACCCAAAAATTTATGAATTTCGGCCGGGAGGTCCATGGAGAAGTATTTTTATTTGGAGTTTTTAAACATGAGGTTCTAAACAACATATCTTATAAAAATCCATGTTTTTTTGCTACGAAGTTTTTCAAGAATCCACTATTATTGGTCCAAATCTATGCACGTGAACGAATATTAAAATATTTTTGACTTTTTAATCAAGAAATCCTCGAAAAAATCAATATTTCTTCTAAAAAATACATTCTTTAAAAATTTATGAGGAAAATAATTTTTAAGAAATGGGACATTTTCATTTAGGAAGTCTGTTAACACATTCCATAATTTTTTTAATAAGAGGTCTTGAAAAATGGCTGATTTTAGGATGTCCACGAAAAATTATTGTTTTAATTTTTTTTACCAGGAAAGTCCATAATTCATAACGTTTATTATGAAATCTTTGAAAAATTGAATATTATTTGGGATTATGTTGGCATGATGCTCTTGAGAAATCCATTTAGAGGAAGTCCTCTGAAATTATTCTAATAATGTTTAATTTTTTACCATTAAGTACTAGAAAATACCATCAATTTCTGTCGGATGGTCCTTGAAAAATATTTAACACAAATTTTGAGCAAAATATATATTTTTTTTAATTTATTATTTTTAAATTATTATTTTTAAATTTTTGAAAAATCTTCGATTTTTTGGAAAGAAATCATTGAAATATATGTATCATGTTTACCGGGAATTCTCCGCAGAATTGACGATGTTTTTCTAGTATATTTTAAAAATATGGTTCAATAAATCCAAAAACCTTAAAAAACAAAACTGTTCTATTCTTCAAAATTTTAGAAAAAATCAGTTTTTTTAAGTACTCGATTCTTGTCCAAATTTTATAAATATTAAAAAAATACCCAAATTTTAGCCATGAAATATTAAAAATATATTTCCAAATATTCTTAATTTTATCAAGAACGAACTACCATATCATGGCCATAAATCGTGGCCGGGAGGTCCATTGAATATACTTTTATATTTTGATCAGAAAGTCACTAAATTAATGTTTTTTTAAATAAGAGAAAAATTAACAAAAAAAATAGGGAGTCCTTAAAACTCTAAGCAATTTTGGTCATACAGGTTTTTTAGCATGAACAGTTCCACTTACTTCGTTTAGGAGGTCTATGAACAAAATGTCCTTACCAGGAAGTCACTGAAAATGTTTTCTTTGAAACTAAATTCTTGAAGACACTTAATTTTTATCAGAACGTTTTAGATGTTTTCAAATCTAAAATTAAAAAAAAAATCTTTTTAACAGTCCATTTTTTCAGGAAGTCATTGAAAATTCCACGATATTGACTCGGAAATCTTCAAAATATTCTTTTAAGAAATCCAAATTCCTAAATTTGTTGAGACTCATAGTGACATTTCAAAATAATATTTTAAGGACTCGTAACGATTCATTAATGACATCTTTACGTCGATTATCAAAATTCAATTTTGGGGAACTCACAACGACCTCTTAATGTGGATTTTAAGAGACTCTTTACGACGCATAACGACCTCTTGGCGTGAATTATGAATTTTAAAGGACTTCTGACGACTCATAGTGGCATCTTTACGTGGGATTTCCAAATGAGTTTTAAGAGACTCCTAACGACCCCTTAACGTAATTTTTCAGAATCAATTTGAGATACTGATATTGACATCTTAACGAGAGTTTACAAAATTAATTTTAATGGACTCAAAACGGCTTCGTACCATGTATTTTCAAAGAGAATTTTGGGGAATTCATGATGACCTCTTAATGTGGATTTTCAAAAGAATTTTTAAGCAATTCTTGACGACCTCTGAATGTGGATTTTTTAAAAATTAATATCAAAGATATCATGGCCAACCATTAACGAGGATTTAAAAAAATTTGGATTTTCTCACAACGACCTCTAAAGGTGGATTTTCAAAGGGAATTTTTAAGGACTTTTTATGATGCATAACGACCTCTTAGCGTAGATTTTAAAATATGAATTGTAAAGGACTCTTGGCGACTTATAGTTACATATCTACGTTGCGTTTCCAAATGAGTTTAAAGAGAAGCCTAATGACCTCTTAACGAGATTTTTCAGATTAAATTTAGAGGAACTGATAACCTCTTGATAACGACATCTTAACGTAAATTTTTAAAATGATTCTTGAGGATTTCATATTTGAGCTCTTAATCGGGGGTTTCGCAATGAATTTTGAGGAACTCATAAGCCCCTCTTACGGAAGATATAAGGGACAAGATTAATGAGGGACTTAAAACGATCTCTTAAAAAATTAATGTTGGGGACTTATTGCGACCTCCTTGAATTTTGCTTTGAATTTTCACAATTAATTTAAGGGACTCAAAACGACCTCTTAATATGGGTTTTAAAATGAAATTTTGAGATACTCATAAAGACATCTTTACGTTGGTTTTCAAAATGATTTTTAAAGAACTCATGAGGACTTTCTACGAGAATTTTCGAAATTAAATGTGAATGACTCTTGGCGATCTCTTAATGTGGATTTTTAAAATGAATTTGAAATGGTTCTTGGATATCTATGAACGCGTGCTCTTAAAATTAATTTCTAGGGACTCATAACAACTTTCTAATGCGGACTTTCAGTTTGAATTTTAAGAAACTATTGACGAACTCTTGACGTTGACTTCAGAATGAATTTTGTGAGACTAATAACGACCTCTTAACGAACTTTAGTTAATTTAAACGACATACGTACATGTATTTTCAAAATGAATTTTAAGTGACTCACGACGACCTCTTTACATCGATTTGTAAAATTAATTTGAAAGCACCCATGACAACGTTTTTACCCCGAATTTTTAAAACAAATTTTAAGCAATTCTTGACGTCTTCTAGCGTTAACTTTAGAATTAATTATGAGGGAATCAGATTTACATGATTCGCGACATTAAAAAAAAATATGAATTTTGAGGAGGAATAACAGAAAGGTTAAAACCTGTAAGTCAAATTCCGCGTAAAGAGTTCGTTTCAACATTTTGTTGAAGGAAAATTCAAAATTCGATGTTGCCTTACAAAATCAAGGAAAAAGGACACATAGGTAGTGTTTTGCTGTTTTTCTTATATCAAATTATTTTTTTATTTTACAGGGTGCTGCTGCAAAATCAAGACATTGGCCTTACCTGATGCGTACGGTTATCGATATGGCCTTGAAATTCTATAAAAATGGAGCTGTCTGGACAAGAACTGCTGATGAATTCTTTTTCAGGGGATTCAATGATGAAATTGTCAATCTATTGGCCGTACTGCCAGCATCGCTGCGGTATAACTTGGGAGTTTTTATGCCATGGGATCGGATTGGTTATGCCTATGCTGTAAGTAAATAGAGAAAAATAAAATTAAATTAAATTAATATTACTTTTATTAATTAACTTAAAAAAGTAATTGTTAAAGAAACCACAAAAAATTATAAAAAATTTAAAAATTTAATTTTTTGAATTAAGTATATTCTTGTATCATTTCCTCACACTTATATTCCCCTAAAACATATTTGGAACATTTATACAAAAAATATTTTTAAATTTTTTTTCTTATTTTCCAACCTTAATTGCTCCTATTTAATTAATACTCTTTCCTTTAATTTATGCTCTTTTCCCCCCACAGCGCAATGGCTCCACCGACTTCCTGGGAACGCACAGCATACACACCGGAGTCGGTGATAAGACCAAACTCGGCGAACTTCTCCTGTGGAAGGGTCAAAATCGCACCAAAGCTTTTAGCAACGGCTGCAATGCCATTCATGCTTCGCCGGGTGAATTTCAGAAGACCAATTTGAAAAAATACGAATCAATTGAGTATTTCTTTACGGATTTTTGTCGAGCCGTAAAGGCGGACTATGACAGCGAGGTATACTATAGGGGTGTACGGGCTTTTCGTTATAAAATTTCGCCGAGTGCCTTTGATAATGGTACAACGTACCCCGAATCGAAATGTTATTGCGATGGTGAATGTATGCCGTTCGGGGTATTCAATATCAGCAGCTGTTATTATGGTCTACCGATTCTGATATCGAAACCACATTTTATGGATGCCGATCCGTTTTATGCGAATGGGGTGGAGGGAATGGCGCCCAATAGGAGTGCACATGAAACGTATATTATTGTGGAACCACGAACGGGGCTTGTGATGAATTTGCAGGGGCGTTTGCAGTTGAATATTTACATAAGGCCCACAACGCATATAAGGTGGGTGGGTGGAAGATTTTGAGGTCCTTGAAAAAATCATAGTCCTTAAAAAATATTTTTTTTAATTATTTTCAGAAATTATTATTTTAATTTGAGGCATATTTTTATTTTTTTGGTCTTTTACAGATCCTTTCCGACGAAACGTAACTTTGCCTTCCCCGTCGCCTGGTTCGACATGACAATGGAAGTCTCTGATTTTGGGGCGATGACACTACGTCTCCTGACCAATTTCCCTCTCTATTGTGATATTTTGGGAATCATACTAATTTTATTAGGCATCATTGTGGCCCTGTGGAAACCATGCCGGGATCATTGGAATAAACGTTATCTCCAACACATGGAGATCAATACCCTGCCCAGTGAGGAGGATGAAAAACTTCCATCCAGTGATTTAGAATCCAAAGATATTAGCAGTAACAAAGATTTATTTGGTCTGCGTTCAAACTTCTCATCACTGATGTATATCACACATCCGCGTCGAAGTTTGCCGATTGTGATATCCCATCTGGAGGGCGATGATGAGGCGTGGCGTTCGTGTCTGGACGAGGAGCAGCGGGCTGCAAGTGAAGTGACGTCGTCCGAAGAATGTGATACCAGTCTGGAAATGGACAGTTGATAGGCTGGCATTTGTGTTTAGTAGAATGAGACTATCTCTTTCTCTCTCTCCTCCTCTAGCTCTCTTTATTTTCTCTGTGTGTCACAGATGTAGCATTTAAGTGATATTCTTTTCATGCTCCCTTTAAAGGTGCATTTCTCTCCCTCTCTCTCATTTTTAGGTTAAGGGTAGATTTTTATAGAACCACAAAAAAAAACCAAAATACCAAATGTTTATTTTAATCTAAGTCGATTATTAAAATTCTAGGCCTAAGCTCATCGTTTTTAGCATCTCATCATCATCGCTCATTCGTTCATTTAATTTATAGTCTAGGGCGGGTTTTTGTTACAAAAAGTTATTGCATTTGAAAATGTGATAAATCAATTTTATTAGGATGTAAAAAAGAATAAATTAAAATTAAGAAAAAAAATTAAAGTGTTTTAATTGCAACGAAATAAAAATTGGAAATATTGCAGTTTAGGCATACTTCATCATTGCGAAAATAGTTTTAAAAAATTTAAGACAGTTGGTCCTTATTTAAAATTTAATTTAAAAAAAATCCACTTTTGTTGGTCCTGGCAAAACATAGTACAGGGTGAGAAAACTGCAACAAAATTAAACGTCATAATTTTTACATTTTTAAAAAAATTTATTGAATGATAGCAAAAAATTTCGGAAATAGCATCAAATTTTAGAAAAAAATTTGGAATTGCTCGAATTGATCACCTTTGACACGAATTATGGCCTTCAAACGGCCAATGAGTACTGCAGAGTAGTAGATGGGCTCAGGGGTCATCTACTGTAGAGTAGTAGGTCATCTACTGTGTCGTTTTTGGTGCTTGAAAATTATTTTTTTAAAAATCCACGTTTGAGGAGCTGTTTGGTCCTTCAAAATTATTTTTTAAAAATCCACGTTTATAAAGTTGTTTGATCCTTGAAAATTATTTTTTTTTTAAATCCACGTTTGAGGAGTTGAGAAGAAAAATATTCTGTAAAAATCCATGTTCTTGAAAAAATATTATTTTAAAATCCACTGTTTTGGTCCTTGAAATAATCCACGTTTTTGGTTCTCTAAAAAAAATTATTAAAAATCCACGTTTTTGGTCCTTGAAAAAATATTCTATAATAATCCACGTTTTAGACATTTTTGGTCCACATTTGAGACGTTTTTCTTGTCTGACGAATTTTTGGTATTTGAAAAATTATTCTTTAAAAATCCAAGTTCGAGGCATTTTTGGTCCTTAAACCAATTTTCTTTAAGAATCCATGTTTGAGACTCTTTTTGTCCTTAAAAAAATATTTTTGAAAATTCTCGGTTTTAGACGTTTTTGGACCTTAAAAATGTTTTAGGCATTTTGGTCATTAAAAAAATATTTTTCAAAAATCCAATATTGAGGCACTTTTAGTCCTTGAAAAAATATTCTTTAAAAATTCACGTTGAAGGCGTTTTAGTCCTTAAAAAATATTTTTTGAGAATCCACGTTTGGTCCTTAAAAATCATGTTTTTAATCCACGATTGGTCTTTGAAAATTATTTTTTTTAAATCCACGTTTTTGGTCCTTAAAGAAACATTCTTTGAAAATCCACGTTTGGTCCTTAAAAAAATATTCTTTGAGAATCCACGTTTGGTCCTTAAAAAAATATTCTTTCAGAATCCACGTTTGGTCCTTAAAAATCATTTTTTTTAATCCACGATTGGTCCTTGAAAATTATTTTTTTTAAATCCACGTTTTTGGTCCTTAAAGAAATATTCTTTAAAAATCCACGTTTGGTCTTTAAAGGCGTTTTCGGTCCGTGAAACAAAAATTCTTTAAAAATCTCAGTTTGTGGTGTTTTTTGTTCCTGAAAAAATATTTTTTTTAAATCCACATTTGAGGCGCATTTGGCACTTGAAAAAATTTTCTTTAAAAATTCTCGTTCGACGCATTTTTGATACTTGAAAAAATATTCTTTAAAAATCGTTTTTGGTCCTTGAATAGTTTTTGTAATCCACGTTTTAGGCATTTTTCTTCTTTATAGATCAACGTCTAAGATCTTCTTGGTCCTTAAAAGGTATTCTCGAAAATTAGCCTCTCAGGCCTTGTTGCAAAAACTTCTTTATCGTTTGTTGGTAGCTTGGTAAAATTAAGATAGTACGGTCATATCAAATAAGCATATCCATCTCTGCATTTTCTGTAATTTATCTTGTCAAATTTCAATGAATAAAATAAGGTTCCTATCTTTGATTTCAATGTATTTAATGAACTTGCAAATACAAATTGTGACAATCAGATGCTGCCAAATTAATAATTTTGAAAGAAATGTAAACATAGCATGGATTTACTTTCTTAATTCTACAGTGGTTTTTAGCTTCAACCCCAAAAAATAACCTTTAAAAATATTAAAAACTTCTTAAAGAATTCAAAACATATCTCATGATTTTTGCTTCAAGAAATGTCCTTCAAAATTCACGACATGCCTGTGGAACCGTTGGGCGCCATCTTATATTTGGATTTTATTTTTGTATTAGTTGATACTTGGGTTGACCTCCATACATTAGTATGTAGCTATGTTGTTATTTTGTTGTAAACAACCTCTTGGGAACAAGTCGATTCATAATTAAATTTCCTATAAAAAGTTTTTTGACGTTCGTATTAAAAATTTAAAAAACAAGAAAGCTCATAATTATATAAATGTCGGAATGCCGAATCAATTTACCTTAAAAAATAAGTGCTAATTACTAATTATAACATTTTTGGGCAAAATGCAATTTTCGAATCAGTGAAACACCGAATCCTAACGTCATCTAAATTAGGGATCCATTAAGGCGGCATAAAAAACAAACGAAATAGAATTCCTTTGAGTATTCAAACATGATGCAATTGAATATTTTATTGCACTATGACTCTGGCAATATAAGGTGCGGATGAGGTATGGCATTCAAATACACAGGGAGAAAATTCCAAGTGAATATTGGAATAGTTAGAGGAGATTTTTTTTAAAAGGACTATGAAAAAGGAGAATAATTTTTTGAGGACTTTTTTAGAAACCTTTTATTCTAAGAATTATATTTTTAACAGCATCAGAGTCGAGAATATATTAACATTTTTAATTTTGTTTGAATTTTCAATTTTAAAATTTATCTTCTGCCATGAGATGGTGAAAGGCCCAAACGTCTTGAAACCTTTCGTACCATTGTTTATTTACCTTTTGCAATATTGTAGATTTTTTTATTAATTGTGCTTAACGATTTGTTTTAGCCACTGCGGCATAACTAGGTAATTATTAGGCTTTGTTAAACAAAATTATTTTTGTTGTCATCCGCTGTATTTTTATTACCTTAGCGTTGCAACGTTACAATCCCAGCAACGATTCTCTCGATAATACCCACATCCTCGCTCCCTCTCTCTCTCTCTCTCTCTCTATCTCTCAACAAATGTGATAGTTGTGAAAATGTTGTGTAAATAAATCAATCTCAGCAATCGAAGTGGACATTTATTGCCATTCTAATGGCCAAATATGAGGCTGTACAAATATATAAATATTTAATGAAATTGTAAATTTTTCAATTCAATTTTTTCGATTTTCGAACGACATTTTCGATTACATTAAGTCAGGTTTAGAGCAAGATATTAGAGTTCAATAGATGAGGAGAGCAGGAATTGAAATTCTTTGCCTCCAATCTTCCAAAATACAAAAATTCAAATCAATTTTTTCTGGGTTAGGCTTCAACGTTGTTAGACGAAAACCAGCAATATGCAATGACGGTATGAAAGGTAGTTCCTCAATACAGGATGTTTGCTTATCGAAATTTGAAAATTCCATTGGGAAATATTATTTCAAATATTCTTGACATATTCTCTAAAACTTCACCTGAAATTGGCATTTTGCCCATAGTTGTGTAGAGTATACGAATATCGACCAGCAGACTATATTTTTTATACTCTCCGCTATAGTATGGAGGGTATATTAAGTTTGTCATTCCGTTTATAACATCTCGATATATAAATTTTAGATCCCACATAGTATATATATTCTTAATCAGCATAAAATTCTATGGCGATTTAGCGATGTCCGTCCGTCTGTCCTTCTGTAAAAACCACTCTAGCCTCCGAACAAATTGAAGTAGGTTGATAAAATTTTCTCAAATGTGTATTATGTCTGCAGGACTTTTGGTATTGGAAAATGGGTCATGTAGGTCCACGTCTTCGTATAGCCCCCATATAACGGTACCTCCCAATATTCGGTATTTTTGATAATCTCAACTACATTATTCACCGGAATTGTTTAAAATTTCGTGGTTGAAGTACCTAATTAGTAATACAGCCTGTCACCGAAAATTGTCAATGCAGGTCTTCGTCTTCGTATAGCCCCCATATAACGACACCTCCCGATATTCGGTTTTTGGATGATGTTAGCGATATTATTCAACAGAATTGTTTCAAATTTGGTATTTTAGTTCGTAATAGATATTACTGCCTATGACAAAAAATTGTCTGTGCAGGTCAACGTCGTCGTATAGCCCTCATACAACGGTCACCGCCCCCCACCCCCCCCCACCCCAATATTCGGTATTTAGATGATTTTAACGACATTATTAACTGGAATAGTTTCAAATTAGGTATTTGAAGTTCGCAATGGATACTACAGCTTATGACAAAAAATTGTCTGTGCAGGCCAACGTCGTCGTATAGCACTCATATAACAGTTCCTCCCGATATTCGGTATTTTGATGAATTTAGCGACATAGTTCACCGGAATTGTTTCAAATTTCGTATTTAGAGTTTGTAATGGGTGTTACAGTCTATGACAGAAAATGGGCCATGTAGGTCCATGTCTTCGTATAGCCTCCATACAACCGCACCTCCCGATATTCGGTATTTAGATGATTTTAGCGATATTATTCACCAGAATTGTTTCAAATTTGGTATTTGAAGTTCGCAATGGATACTACAGCTTATGACAAAAAATTATCTGTGCAGGCCAACGTCGTCGTATAGCCCTCATATAACAGTTCCTCCCGATATTCGGTATTTTGATGAATTTAGCGACATAGTTCACCGGAATTGTTTCAAATTTCGTATTTAGAGTTTGTAATGGGTGTTACAGTCTATGACAGAAAATGGGCCATGTAGGTCCATGTCTTCGTATAGCCTCCATACAACCGCACCTCCCGATATTCGGTATTTAGATGATTTTAGCGATATTATTCACCAGAATTGTTTCAAATTTGGTATTTGAAGTTCGCAATGGATACTACAGCTTATGACAAAAAATTGTCTGTGCGGGCCAACGTCGTCGTATAGCCCTCATATAACAGTTCCTCCCGATATTCGGTATTTTGATGAATTTAGCGACATAGTTCACCGGAATTGTTTCAAATTTCGTATTTAGAGTTTGTAATGGGTGTTACAGTCTATGACAGAAAATGGGCCATGT